GGCGGGAAGGCCAGCCCCACCGGCTCCTGGCCGTCCTCTTCATCGTCGTCCTCCTCAGCGGGCCGCTCCAGCGCTGCTCCAGGGGACAGCAGGACGTCGCCTAAGGGGGACAAAGAGCTGCACTGAAGCCGGGCGGGAAGTGGCCGGGCCCACGCCTCATGTCGGGGCGCCCCCCTCCCCCGAACCGAGCCCCCCCGCCGCCGGCTCACCCCACCACGCCTCCTCCGGTTCCTCCGCCCCTTCCCCCTCCTCCGAGCCCGGGGCGCCCTTCTCGCTCCACTCCTGGAAAGGCCCGCCGAGGCGCGAGGTGCCCGGGTGGCGTCGGCGGACGTGCCGCTCGACGGCGCTCGTCTCGAGAGAGGCCAGTGCGCCCCCGCACACCATGCACACCAGGCCGCGCCGGCCGCCGTCCAGCTCCAGCAGGTATTCCAGCCGCCAGCGTTCCCGGCCCCGGGACTGCCGGCCCGGGCCCCCCGCCCCCGCCCCCGCGCCCTCCTCCGGCTCCTCCTCTGCCGGCCCGGGCCTCTCAGGGACCCAGCCAGCCTCTTCCTTTACGTCTGGGGGGCTGAAATCCCCAGAGGAGGGGGCTCCAGCAGCGGGGGCCAAGTCCCGGCTCTTTCTGGTCAGGTCCTGGGGGATGAGGTCATCGTCTGTTGGGGAAGGGGTGAGGGAGAGGGTCTCAGCCTGCTGGCTGTGTTGCCCTTACCCACGCAGAGGGGGGTCCATCCTTGTTCCTCACCCCAGCCCCAAGCTACAGGCCCCAGCCAGAGTGAGTGTGTGTAAGGAAGCGCGCTCGGGTGGCCTTGTGTGTAAGGAAGGGTAGGGGTTGGTATGCCTTCAGCCCCTGATCAGGAGTCCCTGCCTCCCAGTTTTCGCCCTAGACCGGGTGTTGCTGCCCTAATGTGAGGGAGTCTCAGCCCTGGGACAGCCTCGCACCTGCTGGGGGCCGGGTGAGCTCAGACAGCGCCTCCGGCTCGCCACCCCAGGCCTGCAGCAGGGCACTGCGCTGGGGGCCGCTGAGCCCCAAGGAGCTGGGGTGCACCTCCAGCACGTGGGCACGGATGTCGTCCAGGTGCAGGCTGGGCAGCGCGCGGCCACAAGCCATGCACACCAGCCGGTTCCCCCGCGGGTCATAGTCCATGAGACACTCAGCCCGGAACCAGGTCTGCAGGGACTCCTTCAGCCTCCGCTCCAGGCGCCGGGCCCCCAGCCCCCTGCTGCCCCTGGCCCTCCGGGAGGAGGCGGAGAGGCGCCGGCGCCGGGATGCCACTGGGCCCCCTCGCCGCTGGCGCCGGCAGCCCCCACCAGCTGAGGCTTTGCCTGAAAGGGTTGGAGGGAAGCAACTGAGAGGCTGGCCCTGGCAGGAGCCCCCACAACCTCTCACTCACTGGCTCCAACTGAGATCCCATACCTAACCTTAGCCCTTCTCTTCCTCTCCCTTCACAATTTAACTCCACCTCCTAATCCTCTCGACCAAGGGCTCTAAGCCCCACCTAACCTCCTCAGACCAGATTCTGGCCCTTCCCTAGACTTAAGGGGCTGCACCCTCTTGTTCTCCCACTGACCCCAGCCCTTCCCGTCTGATCTCCAACCTCTAGTCTCTCCCATCCGTGTAAAACCACAGGTCAAAGATGTCAGGGACACTGGAGATCCTCCCACCCACCTCCCCCCACACTACAGGGCAATAAACAGACCCCACCCAGAGAAGGACCAGCAACTTGCAGCAGAAAATCATATAGCGGGCAGAGGAGCTGCCTGCTTTGGCCCCATCACACCCAGGACCCTGCCTCTCCACATCCTGCATTACCTGGGCCCTTGGGTGGGCAAGCCTGGAGGCTGGCCCCCTCCTCCTCCTCTTCCTCTTCCTCCTCCTCCTCCTCCTCAGGCCCCTGGACCCCAAGGCCCTCGGCCTCTCCACAGGCCCCCAGCCCCAGGTGGGCATCCCAGCTGTTGCTGATGACTTCTTTCTCCCGGGGACTCCAGTGCAAGGAGTAGGGGTGCTTCTGGCGGATGTGCCGCTTGATGGTGCTGAGCTTGAGGGTGGCCAGAGAGCTGCCGCACACCATGCACACCATGCCATGCCGGGCAGCGTTGAAGTCCATCAGGTACTCCAGCCGCCAGTGATCGTGGTAGTAGCGTCGGTGGTCACGGCCAGGGATGCGGCTCTTTCCAGGCCTGGAGGCCCGGGCCTCACAATGGTCTGAGTATTTCCTGCCTGAAGATGCTGGTCCCCTGGCCCTGGAGGAGGGCAGGGGGGTACTCCCCCAGGACCCCAAGGCACCCCCTTCCAGCTGAAGATCTTGTCCTGAAGAAGGGGAAAGGGAGACAGCTCTTCAATCTCTGATTTCCAGGCAAAAAAAACCCAGGGCTTTGATTTGGAAGGCTAAAAAAGGGAGATGGGGGAGGGGGTATTCGGGCAGGGAAGGGATGGCAACAGTAATAAAAAGGATGTGGGAGAAGCAGGGAGTAAAAACACTTTACAGAGAGGATCAAGAACAAAACGATGCAGGGCATTGTGCAGACCAGCCATAACTTTTTAAAAATACGGTGAAGGCCAAGGAGGCAGCCAGCTCTGTAAGGTGCCCTTTCTGGACAAGCTGTAGGGATAAAGCCGGGAGAGCAGTGGTCTGGGGCGGTGACAGCCGGCTCAGAGCAGGCAGTGGGGCGAGAGGAACAAAGGGGGCATCTGTCTGCATCCTGCCAGAAGGGCCCCACCCAAAGGTCTCCCTTTTCCCAAGAATGCCTCAAATACAGCCTCCTGAGAATCCCACGTCAGGGAAGGACTTCTGCACTGTCAGTTCCCCAAACAGGGGTCCTCAAGACAAAGCTGTCAACGCCTCCAAGGAAAGGGGTTGCAGAGACTTGGATTCCCCAGAGTCTAGGCGAGCCAGTGACCCTGAGAAGGGATGGCAGGAGGGCCACCAGAGTGGCCACTGAAGATACTGCAGCAGGGAGCGGCCACCACCCACTGGAGCCCATTAATTTTTCTGGGGATTTATTTTTTGTTCTGGCAAGGCGCCAGCCCCTGCCCAGCAATCACAAGGGTGTGTACTGGAGGGGCCCTGCAAAGCCAGGGACGCTCCTTTTGTCAAAGCGACACCCAGAGCAGTCCCACACCCTCTCTTCAGTGCTCAACCTCTTTTACTTAGAAAATGCTCTTCTGGCCAAACAGAGTAAATGGGTAGCTTCTTTCTGATCACTCTCCAGTGGAGAACCCCTGGGTCAGGCAAACAAAAGACAGAATCAGAGAGGGCTCCTGTCACATTGTAGATGATTTTTTGTTTCAGTTTTCATTTTTTTAAAGTAGATCCATAGGGAAAAAAAACACAGTTTGAGTCCTTGCTTCACTGGAAACTTGCTCTGTGGCCATTCGAAGGTCACTCTGCTCTCTGGGCCTAAGTGGCTTTGTGTGCTGCGAGGGCACTGGATCGCTAGCTGGTCTCTAAGCATCCTTCCAGCGCTGGAGCCGTGCTAGTCTAAGGCAGACTAGCCCTTTAAGAGCCGAAAAAAAGAGGAGGAGCTGAGATTCTTTAAAAACAAAAGGGGATGGGGAGTTTCTGGGAGGGGAGCTCAGAGATTGGGGCAGTCTCCCAAGCCCGGACCCAACCTTCGCGGGTCTTAAGGCCTGGACCCTGCCGCCGGAGAATGAAGAAACAATCTCCTTTTAAGAGCCCACGGGGGCTGGCTGGTCCCGCTGCAACTGACAAATTGGGGCCAAAATAAATTCTGAAAAGGGAAGACACCGTGCGGGCAGGAAGGGGTGTCTGCCTTTGTGGGCGAAGCCAGCCCTTATTTAAAACCTGCCCGCGGTGGGGGAAGCGATGGAGGCCCGGGCCGCGAGCCACTCTCCCTCCGAGGAAGAACGCGGGGGAAGAGTTCCAGGCTCCACCGAGCCCGCAAGACGAGACGGGCCGCGCGACGCAAAGCCGCGGGGTCCCGAGCCCGACCCCTGGGGAAAAGCCCCCGAGGGCACACAGGGTGTGCGCGGCCTTTAAGAGACACGATAAGAAAGACCACCTGGGCGTCTGAAAGAGAAAGGGGCGGGGGTGGAGACCGCAGTGCTGGCCCCGCGGGGCCCCTCTGGCCGGGCCCCAAAGCGGGGCGCCA